GTGTCTCTTGTTTAGATGAAGTGGATCAGCTCGTCTGTGTTATTGGGTTGTTGATGCTGTGTTTTATTATGTTTGCGTGATATAAAAGGCAAATACAGTTTGAAATACTAAATGTACTCTCTCCACTTTGTTGACATGAACATTCCTTTGTGTGCAAAAGTCTACCTTCTTTATTAGATATTTTAGTGGACAGACTTTAGGTTCTTCAGTTTTCCATTGCAATGAATGAGATGTATACAGTATTTAACAAGTGGTGTTCAGAAGTAGCACCAAGCTCACGTGGGCAGAGCAGAATACGGTGGCTCAATTGTATTTCACAGCATTATGAGTATGTTTTGTTTGCTTTGGAGTAAACTCGTCAGTTGCTGTTGCTAATCAGTCATTAATTTAACCAGAAGTAAAGAAATTGTTGTTGTAATGTATTCATCTGTTTGTATGGGCCTCGCTTATGTTATTGTTTTGACATTTCTTGCACGTTTTTTGTGTCTTTTTGGCCTATGCTGCTCAAATGAAGTGCCCCTGGTGGGATAAATAATGTAGTCTGAATCTGAAGAGTGTAGGTTCTATTTGTTTCCTTTTATAGGGTAACTTCCGGCTTTAAAATGGTTGATAATATGTATAAAGTCGTAGTGATCTTTATCTGTGTATTCATACGGCCACTTCCTTTTACATTGTGTTGGACTAATCCCCTGAGTTATGTGTGAGAGTGTGAGGCCTCAGAATAATCGCTCACACGGCACGGTGGCTGAGTGGATAGCACTCTCGCCCCTCAGCAAGAAGGTCCTGTGTTCGAATCCTGGTCGGACCAGGGCCTTTCTGAGTGGAGTTTGCATGTTCTCCTCGGGTCTGCGTAGGTTTCCCCTACCACAAAAAATATGTACAATAGATCTGGCATGCGCCTCCTAAAATAGATACATGTTACCTTTTTGATTAAATACGTCAATTTACATTCAACTGCAATAAGCCTTACTCTTGGAAGTCATAATTATTGCAAGATTTTTCTATTTAGGAAATTTTGTCTGAAATAGAATTTGGCAAAACTTGACTTTTAAAAAAACATACTTGTTTTATGTTTGCCTGCGCTAATTTCCCGTTCATCTCGATCTATCTCTGCCGTCACTTAACCCTCCATTATTTTCCATCCTTAGAGTAATCACAAGGGTTCGTTTGTTTTTGCTAGTTTGCAAGATAACTCAAAAAGTTATGAACAAAATACTTTTTTGACGTGATCTGGGTCCACAAAAGGTCCTGCAATTTTTAAGTAAAGGAGGACCTTTCGCCAGAGGTCTGATCTCTGCTTTTCTAGTTTCCTCTGTCTCCAATAGATGTCAGTGTGGATAGGACCATTGGAAATGTGCTTAACCTATATGTAATTTCTAAAATAAAATGCCAGAGCAAAGGTTCTCAAGAATCAAGATCAGGCATGGTTAAACCAATTGTGGGGTCCAGGAGGAATCTTACCCAAACACAGGGAGAACATGCAAACTAAACTCTATGATACAGGGAGTAGTCGTTATTCATTATGGTGCTTTAATCCAGAGTCAATATACCCTTTAAAATATTTCACAAATATACAGTAATTATGCAAAAAGCAATTAGAAATAAGTAAATGATTGCTCAAAAGAATATCTTAATTTGAGCAAATTTTGACTGCCTTCAAACAGATTTGCCAGTGGGACATGTAAAATTATCTGGTTTTTAGTTCTTGAAATATCACTAAACTGCTTGTCCCAATAGAAAATTTTGTTATAAGACAAAATATACTCAAATTAAGATACAAACCTCTTGATTCAAGCAATTATTACCTCATATTTTATAATAATTCATATCATGTATATTTTTTTTCTGGTTGGCAGTTGTCAAGGGTACACTGCACTGTTCCCACACTGTTTGTGTTTGATGACAGACATGTGACCTTACACTTGCATGATCCCAAACTTCTGCCTTTCTTCACATTGTGGGTTGTGTTTTTAAAAGGAGCCGTACAATGGGCCCTGAATCTCCCAACAATAACAGCCCCTGGGAACGCCACACTGTTTATGCACTTGTAGGAAATCGCTCCCAAATCCAGTCTTGATACTCTTTGTGCCTAAAACAATATATGTGGGTGTGCACGTGAAGCCTGTGTTCATACGGCCATGTGTTTCCATGTTTGTCTGCACAAGTGCGCACGTGTGGGACTCCTTGGTTTGCATTGTTCTGAAGGTAAATCTAACAGTGAGGTGTCTAGTGTGTTTTTGTTGGCAATGTCCTCAATGAAGATCAACCCCAGGCAGGGACTTCTTGTTTGAGGAAGTAGAATTGATTCAATTTTTTTATGTAAATACTAGGACTCCCACAATTATGAAACTTCTAGGACTCTCAGACCCGTTATTTTGATTGCTTCTATGGGATTCTGAGAAATTCCCCCAAAAATGTTTAGTTTTTAACCAGATTTATTAAAAGTAAGCCACTACCTTTACTCACTTTTAATAAGTTCTAAAACTGGTTGATATAACAGTATAGCTTAAACAGTTTTTTGAAAGGCTAATGCTAACGGCTGACAGTACTCGCTCTTCTCTGGTGGAAAACCAAGCTGAACCAGAACCAGTCCAGAACCAGCACCTTGGAAAACGGGGTTTAACTGCCATTAAAAAGAAAGCAACTGAAAATTGAATTTTTTTTAATTGAATTTTAGTAACTTGAACTACTCACATTTCAAAAACAATTATTATAATAAAGTAAGTAAGTAAGTAAGTAAGTATTTATTTATATACCGCCTTTTCACTGCAGATCTGAGTCTCAAAGCGGTTTACAATTGTTAATTTTTGGGCATTTGTCTCTCACTCCACACAGAGATGGGAGCGGGGTCGCCAGTACAGGAGGCGCATGCTAGAACTATTGGACATATTTTTAGTGGTAGGGGAAACCGGAGTACCCGGAGGAAACCTACGCAGACACGGGGAGAACATGCAAACTCCACTCAGAAAGGCCCTGGTCCGACCGGGATTCGAACCCAGGACCTTCTTGCTGAGAGGCGAGAGTGCTATCCACTCAGCCACCGTGCCGCCCATTGAAATGGGCACATTGAAATGTATTGCAAAGTGTACATAAGCTAAGTAATTTCGCTTCCAAAACTAAAAGTAATTAGTATATAATTCCAAATATAAGATATAAATAGCTCGAGGTGGGGTATACATTAGAGTACATGTTTTTTGAAGCTTTCCATTCAAATACTTGTTGCTTTTTATGCTCAGATAATGATCCCATGTGAAACAGTATATACCCACTTTGTCTTTGAAAATCTTGGCATAAATCACTGCCAGACAGAACTCGCTCTCTGAACATCTGTGTCCAGTCACTGCTGCCCACTCTGTATTCACCAGTGTCTGCTCTGTCTGCTCCGCCCATCTCTTCTCTGAACTTCTTCAAAAGGATTGATATCGTAACACATATATCTGATGACAAAAAGAGTTTGAACATATACAGGTGCATTAGCAGCAGTAGTTGTTGTCCCAACATTGTCCAATCTCTCTTACAGAACGCTTTCTGTTGAATCTGAGCTGTGGACAAATATTTTGCTCATTAACACTAGGACTCAACGAATTCTGAAAATTACCAGAAAAGTCAGTGAGTTTCCATCCGTTTTATTCAAGGTAGGTAATTTATAAGGCTTAAGTGCTAAAACTGGTAAATATAACTTGAAATACAGCAAAAAGCAGTAAGTTGAAAAACTATAGGTTTTTAGGTAACTTTTCTTGCTTTTATTTTGTGAAAGACCATGGGATTCTGGGAGTTAAAAGTAGAACTGGATTATTTCATAGAAAGACATAGAAATGAACTACATATAGATACAGAAAAAGTCACAAAGTTTGGAAGAACAAAAATGTACATACACCGAGTTATGACACTTCCAAAACTAGAAGCCGTCATATTGACTGCTTTGGTAGTTCTAGTATAAATTTCTCTCCAGATTCCAAGAATAACCTCTAATTTCATAACAATGGTAAGTTTGAGCTATAAGTTTGATTTGGTCTTAAATTTGGGGATCTCGAGGCCTATTACATTAAGTAATTTGGAAAGATTTTACTTCGGAAATTGATAGTGATAAGCATTTGAAACTACTTTATGCCACTAACTAACTAAGTAAAATACAACAGAGTAATCCCAGTAAATTATTATTTTTTCCTTCATTTGACTGTATTGATTAACAAGCATAAAAATAAACGGCAAATGGAAGCCACATGTATGAAACTTTTGATACTAAATCCCTCTACTATTGCACAGAATCAAATATGAGCCTCAAGATAAATATATAAGATACATTTTGAGCCCCAAAATGTAAGTTTTAGTTAGTTATCAGTTATTGAACGATAAGTTGATAGTCATTATCATTCAATTAATCAGCATTTTCATCAGAACAAAATAACTGTTTTTAAACAGGACAGACCTAGGGATCCTATATTACCAGATAAAATACGACCTCAAATAAAGCTTTTGGTGCCTGATTATATATGGTAAATCATTAACATTAAAATTCAAAGGTTCTCTGTATCTTTCAGGCCAAAGGTTCAATTTGCAGCGTTAAATCAACAAAAATGATTGGAATAATACGAATTGTGTAACTCATTCTGTAGGTACAACAACGTCCTCTTTTCCACCATGCATCCTCTCCCTCTCTCTCTCTTACCCCTGCCACACTTCTACCCCGCTCCCTCCCTTCTGTTCCCCCTTTCCCCTCCCTCATTCCCTCTCTCCCACTCTCCGTCTGTGGGCTGCGTGCACAACAGAGCAGCTCTTCTCTCCAGCTGCTGGAAAATGTGACCACAACAAAACTCAGCACTCGTCTCTCTCGCGGCAACAACACGACAGGAGAGAAACAAAAAAAGAGTTTGCCTGTTTGGGATATGGGATGGCATGGTTCAGCGTGGACTTTCTACACGCTGCTGGGCTTTCATTGGACGTAACAGGCCAGTCGTGCTTCCGGACTCGCTGTACGGAGTCTGTGAGCGCTGGCAGAGATGAAGAGCGTCAAACATGTCATAGGTATGGAGACTAGAATTCAGTCTGGGGAGAGCGAATTGTAAAAATGTTGTTGTGAAGGAGGTTTGTAAATGGCATTTCACGTACCTGCTTTCTGTGTGTGTTAGTGAAGCAACTAGACTCAATCAGTTTAATAATCTGACCCAATTTCCTCACTGTTTATTGCCCATTGAACTCTATACCTCTACTACTGCTATCGCCATGACAATTCAAGAGGACATAACACATGACTAAATACTAGCTAAAGCATGAATGTGTTGTAACTATAAAAAACAGCTTGTTTTTAGGAAAATAATGAACTCTCCTTTTGAGCTGTGTTTCTGGAAATTATATGTACCTATAAAAATACATTTAAAACCGCTCAAATAAACTACTACTATTCTGTTATGGGCTGAGAAATTCCCTGATTCTGAGAAGTTTGAGCTTTTGTCTTCTCAGAGACTCATTCGAACATCCATCCTGTTGTTATTTGGACGTTAGCAAATACATTCCTTGTCCTGTTAAAGTTGTGTGTTGGAATTATTGACTTGAATTAATTTATAAACTGGTAATTTCTTGTATTTCTTGACAAAAAAGTCTCATGTGCCAGTGGGTGCGAGATTCACACTATTGTTCTGGTAATGCTCGATTCAACTTTAATGAAGGGAATATTATTGCTGTTTTATAGTAAAGATTTTTTTTTTTAAATCAAACAAACAAACAAACAAAAGAAATACATTGAAAACGTGCGTTCCAAACATTATGACTGTTCTATCCACAGACCTAGCATCTTAGCTTGAAAGATACAAAGGAACATCTCTGCACTAACAAGCAGGTGATGGACCTCCTCAAGAAAAGTCACACAGTGTACCTCACATCAATCATAGCGTATTTTTGAACAAAAATTGAATTGTTAAGGTTTAATTCAACACGAATAGATCTGGGTCAAACATGCGGTTAATCCATGCACATTCCAGTGCTGATTATAATCATACAAAGAATGTAATGCTTTGTCTGGCTAATTTATCAAACTTTATTAAATTCATAATAATATTGTACTGGCTGTGAAAGTGAAAAGTGACAGTGGATGCTTACTGTCACTTAAACTGGATTGGATTAGATTAAATTGTAGCTTTATCAATCCAAATAAAAAGTGAACTCATGGACACTGAACTAAACTTCAACAACAGTGCACCAATTCTGGAGTCTGGGTCTGCATGTTTTTTGGTTAGCTTTGACTTTTGTGTTTAATGGCGTTTCCGAGTATCAGCTGATTCAGATCTGTTCATTTCCCATTAAGTGAAGTATTTTGAATGTGTGCTTTGATTATAAAGGCCTTGTACATTGAGTTCTTTGTTGCAGTTCTGTGAAGCAATGTTACCAGAAATAGTTTCCCTAGTCATGTATTAAGTGTTATAAATGAACATCGTCACTTTTATAAGTGGAGGTTTTATGGCCTAATCCGCTTGTGTTAAAACAACCATCTTCCCTCTTCACTTTGTTTGAGTAGAAAGACATCCAAAGGTGTTTTGTTGCGATAACATTATTGTTCAAAGGCCATTAATGCATTGTATGTGAACATCTGCTCTTCTCCACAGACATGAGTTGGTGTGATGTCATGCTGTCCAACACACACACTCACACACACACATGAGCACGCAAACAGGTGTTTTTTACAGCCCCTTTAAGAAAGAAACAAAAAATTAGATCACTATTTTCCTGCTTGTTTTCCTGCTTGTTTCATCCTGTACATTTACATCTTGATTTACTCATGTTTTTAAGCCGAGATGACTTTTCCACATGTCTTTTAACATTTTCCAGTCCCACCTCACTCTGCGTCTGAGGCTGTTACCTCTGTGTGGATGTGATTTATGACTGGCCCATATTTATACTTCAAAAGGACCATTATTCTTATTTTATTTTAACATGATCTTAAAAACATATTCAACCCCATTGAACATTGATGTATTTGTTGAAAGAATGTATTGTGCTCTTTTTGGAAAGCAGCATTCAATGAACAAATTTGGCAATGCAGCATATTTACTTCTTTGGGTTCTTGGGTACATACATTAGTTAATGCATTCAACTAAAAACCCATACTTCTTTTGTCATAACCGTTGAACTTTATGTTGTATGTTTGCAACCATGGGTGCCACGGAGTAAAGTAACTTAATGTGAAAAAATTATGTAGAAAAATAAGGAAGCCATATTCAGCTTCCTCTCCACCTCATTCTGCCTTTTAAGCAGCTCATTGGGTCTGTTTTGGCTGAAGCAGATTATGACCTGATTGATACTTTATACTGCATTTCTGCACTTCTATTTTATTTGTATTTTATATTTTGTGTCTCTGTGTTTTTATGGATCCTCACTGGTGCTCCGTCATCAAATTAAGTTCCTCACACATATTTAAAGTTAGTTGAATTGACTTGAATTGAAAGGTTTTCAAGATCACATTCATGGACATTAGTCATCTGTGTGTTTTTTATGAATGAGTTTCTTGAGTTTGAACTGTTTGATTGGCTGATATTTTTTGGTGAATTCAACGGTTTTGTAAAGTCCTCCGAGATAACTGCTGTTATGAATACAAGAATACATTGAAATGGAATATACTGAAGTTCTATCTTATTCACAGTCATTTTTTAATAAGAACACCTAAAACATCAGCCGCTGCTTGCTTTGGTGAAATGGCACGGGGAAGACAGTTTGGAACAGGAAATCAATTAACCTGTTTTTGTTATCAGCCATTGTCCTTGTTTCAATGAACACGTTTAGAAGAATTATAAACACATGCTGCTGTAGTTCTGAATCTAAAGCATTTGTTATCCATAAATTTAACCCATACTCTAAAACATAAAGCGTAATTACTCAAATAAGGAACGTGAATGGACTACACTGTGGTTTGATCATGGCCTCGATGATTGTGAACAATTGTTGTGATGTTTCATATGGAAGTAACACTAAAGTTTGGTCGTATTGCATGCAGTAATAGCAGCGGTTAGTCAGCAGACTCTACTCTAAAGACGTTTTTGTTCCTGTTCGGGTCCTGACCACTGACCCCTGCAGCATCAGCGTGATTTAGAGCTTCTGTTTTGCTCTTTTCTGCACAGAGGAAGACTTGTTCATCAAAAACTGGGCTGGAAGAATCTAACAGACTATAGGCCTAAACTGGAGTCATATATGAACTATAATATCCACTGAGGCAGTATTGTATGGAGCCCCCGACTGCACATCATGTAGGGCAGAGGGGAAGATTCTTAATGAAGGATTGTTTCGGGCAGAGAAAGGCTTGGAAAATCTCTCCAAGTTCAGTGAGTTAAAGGATCTGATTGTGCGTAGAAGTGGGTCAAAAGGGAATGTTTAACTGCAAAAGAGAATTTAAACTCAAGTTGATTGGCAATACTGTTGGTCCGTGGGAGCAGATACCTCTCTCAATATGGGCCTTCCAGAGGTTTCACACTTTTTTCTCTTGAGTTTTTGAGTTGTTCCGTTTTCCAGGAGGGTCTAAGGACAGTGATGACATTTAAGGACGTTTTGGACATTTATTAACATTTATGGACATTGGTCAATCCGCCCCCTATGGACCAATGTCTCCTATGTGTTTGTTATTATTGCATTTCTGTGTTCAAACTGATTGTTTGATCTGTTGTTGTGGATTCGACAACTTTTTAAATCCTCTGAACTGTAATTTGAGTTTACTGTCATTAACATATTACACTAAAAACAAAAACAGAAATGTTATCAAATCTATTATGAGATCAAAATTATGCCCCCTATTTGTGAGTTTGAAGCTAAATTTTTGAGTCCCAATTTACAGCTCAATAGAATTTTTTTGGGCTGGTGCTATGTGTACTGGGTGGCATCTCAGGCCACCCCCCGACCCAGAAATGGATTAAGGGGTAGAAATTGGATGGATGGATGGATAGAATTTTTAGCCCTAGTTTTTCACAACCCTAAAACCCATTGATAGCTTGGGCAGAATACAGGGGACATCATTTACCATTTTGGAGCGTGAAGTGCAAATGGATTGATAGTTAATCGAGTTAATAATCAATAAAACCACATAACTAAAAGCAAAAAATATATAAATCTTCTCGGAGGACTTTACAAAGTTGTCTATTCGCTAACACAGATCAGAAAAACAGTTCAAACCCATAATACGCGATAATAACAAACACATAGAAGCTATTGGTCCATAAAGGGCAGATGAACAATATTCTTAAATGTTAATAAATGTCTATAAAGTACGTTTAAAGTAAATGTCCATAAAGTATAGCATGGTTCTTATGTCTAAATGATCTGTGTTTACTAAACTCGTCTCTGTGTCCTTTGTGCAGATGAGATCATGCAGCAGGAGATCCGGCCGTTGTTAGCCGTGGACATCATCGAGCAGCTCCATCGACAGTTCGCCCTCCTCTCCGGTAAATAAACACTTTGATCCGAAGTAAAATGTTATGTTTCAAAATATTGCTGATTTGTTGTTTTGAAATTGCAAGTGCTAATTTCTCCAAGGATATCATGAACAGTTGAGAATTAGGCCTGATTAGATAGCTTTCTAAATGCCAGCTGCAGTTTTACCCGATTAACCCATAATTAGCAAGAAATGATGCCGGTATATAACCTCATTTTATCGTAACCTGTTTTTGACCAATTCAGTTTCTTTGAATTATTTTAAATGTGTGACAGCTAATAAGCTAAACGGATTCACCCATTATCATTGGGTTTTGCCATGAACCTGAAGTCTCCTCATATCACATTACACTGAATACACTGGGATGAAATTGAGATTCAATTCAAGAAAAAAATCTAAATAAACCTTCCTCACTAAAATATTTCTCTGGAGAGCCTGTTTCTCATTTTTTTTAATCATTAACAAAAGTACACAAACACACATACAGAGAAAGGCTCAGGACTTTTAGAGCATAAATGTGAAAAAACCTTGGCAAGATTTGAAATGTGATTTTTCTATGTGTTCTACTCAGCCCCCGCTGAAAGATCAAGGCTATGCTCACACTCAGAGCAGCCGTCCTCCTGTGGACTCACCACCTGCAGAGGGTCAGTGAGGGGCTGGTGCTATGAGACTTGGGTGGCATCTCTGACTGCCACCCCCCTGACCCAGAAATGGATTAAAGGGTAGAAAATGGATGGATGGATGGATGGATGGATGGATTCTACTTATATCGTAAATAAAATAAATGAGTCCTCAGAAGCTGAAAAACTGCAGAGCCTCAGACTTTTTGAACACCTTTAAAGAGGCTTTTTGGAGATAATTGCCTGGAGGTGAACGGGAAACGTGGTCCTGAAGTGGTTGTAGTCATAATGCCTCACAGTCTGCACTCAGGAGCTCTGTGGTTCTTCTGGCGTGTTTCTCATTCTTCTCTGATGCACAAATAACAACTGTCTCCAAAACGCCTCACTCAGTATTATTCCAGCACTCTTATATAACTTATATTGCACCAACTCCAGGGAATTTATCCACTAATAGCAGCACGTTTTTTATTCAGCATTTTGTTTTTATTAGGCAAAAATATATGTATTCTGGTCCTTCTCTTTCTGAATTGAGTTTTCAAAATCCAACATGTCATAGATAATTATTGTAATGAGTCTGTGACATACAGTTATCCTCATTGTATTTAGAGTGTAGGAGTATATTATTTTGTGGACATTGACTGATTTTTCACAAGTGTAGTTTTATTGTTTGTTGTCATACTGGGAGTCCTGTTGTATCTATTCTTCCTTGTTTAGACTGTTGTCAGTGCTGTGCATTAGTTTAACAACCTTGCATTAATATATGCATTCCTTTGTGGTTGTGGCTATTGCTGCCTTGTAGACTTACATTAGTCTATAGTCTCTAAATTCAAGTGTTGTTGTCCGTTCTGTAATATAGGATGATCTGATTGTGCACATAGCCCTAGTGTAATCCCCACTCTATTGGTTGTCTGTGAATTGTAAGATACATTTTGAATTAATTTTATGAAAAGGTGTTTCCCGCTCTGCGTGTCAATGACTCTCAGAGGGAACCAGGCTTTTACAGTGGCAGCACCAATATTGTGAAATTAGATTAGCTTCTTCTGCAGCTGTTTATTAATCTCTTGTTAAAATAACATGTGTATTATTATTGTAGCACTTTGTTCAATTTGGATGCTATTAAATTGCGCTATGAATAAAGTTGTACACATGTATCAGCACCAGAGATCTGTTAAATGCCGCCATCTTGTGGCGCCTTTGTGTAAATGAGTTTATTGAACAACATTTTAACAGAATGTTTACAAGTTCAGTTTGTGAAGACCTAACTGAGTCCACAACAAAAGCAAAACTAAGTACACATTTTATTTTTGATAATTTGCCCTTTTGGATGATGAACTAACCCCAAATGTTGTGCATATTTTTATGCTACACATCATCGGTATCATAAAGCATAATGATGTCCATACTTGATAATTAAGTGTATTGTGTGTTTTATTTCATGCACTGTTGTGTTGCAGGAGGACGAGGGAAGGATGGCGCTCCTATCATCACGTTCCCAGAGTATTCGGGCTTCAGTGACGTCCCGGATGAAGACTTTGTCAACGTTGTCACCTACCTGACCAGCATTCCCAGGTGACTTAATAGATCTTAATCAGTTCCATTTCATAAGGATTATAACTTGTTGTGTTTAGGGTTGTCCCAAAAACATCTCCTTATAAGGCCGTCCAAATGTGTTTTTAAAACAGTAATTTGACAAAACAGAATGAATAGTGTAATATTTATTTCATTACTCTTGTTGTTGTTTTCCTGATCTCACATTGACCCTTCTTTTCAAAACTATCTACATTATTCCATTCATTTTATGACATTGTTGGCAGTGCCATCACATTCTCATGACAACAAGAAGGCGGCTTTAAGGACGGCACATTAGAAAAAGTTATATAGTGCATCAGTCTATTTTCTCCTGATCCTTCCTCTCAGAGTCCTAATGCTTCCTGCCTCTTATCCCTACTCAGTCTTGACGCCGCGAGTATCGGCTTCATCATCATCATCGACCGGAGAAAGGACAAATGGAGCTCAGTCAAGGCGTCTCTCAACCGTATTGCTGTAAGTTTCCTTTCCGCTCACTCCCTTAAACTATTTACCAAACTTCGAACCAAGTGCACGTGTCATAATAGTTTACATAATGTGTTTTTTTCCAGGGAGCGTTCCCGGGAAACCTCCAGCTCGTCTTGGTGCTCAGGCCATCCAGGTTTTTCCAAAGAGCCATTGCCGACATTGGAATCAAACTGCACAAAGATGACTTTAAGATGAAGGTGTGGTTTAACAGGAGTCATTTCGCTTTCATATAATGTTTGCTCTATACTTATAGTTATAGCTACCTATCCATGAGTTTTGAGTTTTTAACCTTATGCCATTGTCCCCTCATTAAAAACATACTATGAGATTTCATAACACTTTGAAGCAACTTTTGTTAAAGTTAAACTCATCATTCTATCAATGTGCAGAAGCCAGTACTTTTCCCTTGTTTTGTCTATCTGAAGGCCAAGCTACAAGCACACTGTGGCAGCTGCTGATTGGAGGTCTCCATGCCTCCGCTCTGTATAATACACTTGCATTCTATATCTGTGTTTGTGTTCGTGCTGTCTCTACCATCGACAATAAAACATGTCTTCTGTCTGAATTTAAGACGCGATCCCAGACATGTCATCTTCTTCAGGTGGTGGAAGGATGCGGGCCTTGTCTGTAACATCTAGAGAACAGAAGACTTTTTTTTTTTTACACAAAAAGTGTTTTTTTTTTAAGCCAAAACTGAAAAACCTCAAGAGAATGCATCTGGACCAGCACACTTGGACAATCTGCACAGCCCCTGATTCCAGTCAGGCTGTGAGCTGCTGAGACATGGACAAGACCATCGTCCTCTTTTGCATGGACATCATTTGGAAAAATTGGATTACACAATTTGGACATGATTTGGAACAATCTGGATTTCTGAATTTGGAAATAATTTGGACTGAATTGAATTGCTGAATCTGGACACTAAAGCTGAAACGTGTGATTGAAAGACACGTCACAGAAGAATTCATGGCTCGACACAAATGCAGCCTGAGGAATCAACACGGAGAAGTGGGAGAGACTGTTTTCAAAGCAATATCTGGAACCATCGACTGATGAAGTTTGGTATTTTACTGAAGATTGTTGACAAGTTTTATGAAAGATCCGAACATGTTTTCTGAGTTTTTGAAGTATTCCGAGTTCTGAGTTTTTTGAGGTACCGAGTGAAGTACAGAGTTTATGAGTTTTTGAAGTATTGAGTTATGATGTTATGTTGCTGTTTATCGATCCTGATGGTCACATGTGAATGTATGACCAGAGGGGGGAATATGAGATTTCATAACACTTTGAAGCAACTTTTGTTAAAGTTAAACTCATCATTCTATCAATGTGCAGAAGCCAGTACTTTTCCCTTGTTTTGTCTATCTGAAGGCCAAGCTACAAGCACACTGTGGAAGCTGCTGATTGGAGGTCTCCATGCCTCCGCTCTGTATAATACACTTGCATTCTATTGTATCTGTGTTCGTGTTCGTGCTGTCTCTACCATCGACAATAAAACATGTCTTCTGTCTGAATTTAAGACGCGATCCCAGACTTTGTCATCTTCTTCAATACCATGAGTTTTCTTTTTAGCTCCACCCATACTAATATAAGTAACTACTGACATGGAAAGGCACAAACACATTCTGTCTAAATGCTCCTATATACCTTCAATTATAATGTGGTTATTGGAAGTTTCATGTATATATTAATTTTATGCATTTTTGTGTAATTTCCAGATTGTAATGTTGAACTCTGTGTCGGATTTGTACAACTATGTGGACAGAGGGCAGCTGACCCGAGAGCTGGGGGGGCAACTGGAATACTGCCACAGCCAATGGATTCACCACAGAACGGTGAGGAAAACACATGGAAAACCTGAATATGACCAAATATGACTTTTTAAGATTACCACTGATGCAGTTACTCAATGGTATGATTGTTGTGTTGCATGTCTGTTCTATGACTATTATGTGGTACCTCATTTATAGAGAAGAAAGTTCATAGTTACATCCGTCAAACTTCCAACATCAAGGAGACAGCTCAAGTGGCTGAGATCTGGCCAGAGTTGTTCTTTGACCAATGTGTTTTGAACTTGCATTTACATATATTTTTATTCTATTGTAAAGCGGTCTGGGTCCAATGTTAATTGTTATGTCCATATCCATAAATAAATACAGAAATAAACATACATGTATGTTTGGACAGTGCATCAGCTTTGATTCAAAAATCAATAAAGAAATGAATGTACTGGTGACAGTGGCTCAGTTTGTAGAGTGTTGACCTTTGGGCCTGAAGGCTGTGGGTTCAATCCCCCCACCAGACCTTCTCCACCAACTCCCAATGATGTCTGCTGTCATTGTGTCCTTGGCTTAAGCCTAGCGTACATCGACAGAGAAACTGGAGACAACTAGTTGCAAGGCTGCTTTTGGCAACTGAGAGGAGATGGTGGGAGATGATCAGTTGCCGAAATCGGTCGATGTGCGCGCTCTTACAACTGGAGATGATCAGTCGGTCTCCAGTTTCAGTCAGTTGCCCATGTTCTACTTTTCGGCAACTAGTTGTCCTCAGTTTCGGAGATATGACCCGATGTGCGCGCTCCATGCGCCGCTCCGACAACGTGTGTGTATTGCGTGTATTGCGAGCCCGCAACAGTTTATGTCAGAAAACACACTGTAGTTGAGGCCAGTTGCTGTCGATGTACGCGCTGTTATTCCCGAGACTGGTCTGCTACTGGGAGTTGCCCGTTTTTGCCAGATTGTCGATGTGTGCGGGGCAGCAACTCATATGCGACGGATATAATCAGTTGCCAGTCCGATGTACGCTAGGCAAAAGACACTTAACCCTACTTTGCCTAAAGCCCCCGCTGAAAGATCAAGGCTGTGCTGTCACTGACAGAGCAGCCATCTTCCTGTGGACTCACTACCTGCAGGAGGATCAGTGGGGGGCTGGTGCTCTGTGAATTCCCAACATGGACAAAGGGGAAGAAAATTAATGAATGAATGAGCTCATTTGGCGTCAGCAGGCAGAGCCTTCTGTTTACAAGAAGGATACAGCTGCTTCTCTTGCTCTCAGTTTCACACTACTGTAGCAACAGCAAGAATCTTCAGCCTAAATGATCATTCAGTTACTCACGTACACTACCTTAAAAGTGTGCAATAATTCAAGCGTTAACATGAGATTTGCAGCTGTCTATATTTTGTAATAGCTCATGTAGCACTGATGTCATTGTGTTATATATTTCCAGGCTATCGAGAATTTTGCGGTAACGGTGAAAAGCACGGCTCAGATGTTGCAAAGTTTTGGCACGGATCTGGCAGCGACGGAGCTGCCCAACGATGTACAATGCACCAAAGACATGCTGGTGTCCCACACAGATAAACACCACCACCTAAAGGTATAAGGCTAACAGTTTTGTCTCTTAAAAAGCAAATATATTAATCAATCATCAATATTTACACCTCAGAATGAAGCTAATGATCTCATAGCCATACCATTTTACAGCAATGGTAATTTGCTTCAGTTTTTTCTCTGTCAACATATAGTAGAATACTCAAAGTAAAGAAGTAGGAATAATACAACTGAGATGCACAAGATTAGTTGGTAATTGTTTTGTGAATCTACTACAGTAAAAATGTAAAATATTGATATCAAACAGCAAGAGAGATTTTGAGATTCTGTTCAATTGATCTGTTAACTTTCTTGATTTTGGCCAAGAATTAACACAATAATTTATGATATTTGTATAGGGAAATAAATATAAATATCTTATATCTAAATAAGTTTGCTATTTCCTAGGTTATTCAAAATCAGAGTCATGTTTAATGTTTGGGCTCCATTTTAAAGTGACTTTTCTCTGCGTGATCCAGGATGAGTTGAAGCTGGCGCTGAAACAGGGCACCACGCTCTTAGGCTGTATAAAGGAACAGGCGGGGAAGTCTGAGTGCCGCAAACTCAACCCTGATGAGATGGAGAACCAGACCACCGTTGAGAGGTAACCGTGTTCCAGAAGACATGAAAAGGCTCCTTAAATGACATGTTCTTTAAAAAAAAAAACGGAAAAAAAAACTACTACAAAAAATGAAGCATATCCAAAAGATTAAAGATGTCGTTAATTTTGTCTCGTGGATAGTCCCTCTCCGTGTCTGTGGCAATGAACTTGTTAATTTTTGGTTTCAGGGTTTTCATTATTTAAGACAGTACAGCAGAAAATTATTCTAGACTTGGAAGTATTAGAGCATGGAATTTATCATAAAAAACATAAAAAATAAGCTACCGTTCTCTAGATCATTATTTAGGAAAGTCATTTTTTAGGCTTTTTTGTAATTTTATGTACATTTTTGCTTATGCAGGCTTAAATAATCCTTTTTCAAATAGTGACCACTAAAATATCTTCCAGTCCTGCTTGTTATCAATATATTCCCCCTTTTCGTACTGTATGGGTGTTCATAACGTGTAATAGAGTTGGGGTTTTGTGGTTATAGACTGCTGGCTCAGTTAGACGAGACGGAAAATGCCTTCGAACAGTTTTGGTGCAAACATCATCTCAAGCTGGAGCAGTGTCTTCAGTTGCGGCACTTTGAGCAAGACTTCAGAGAGGTACGGATGCACTCATGAAGCCTCCTGTTGCTAAGTGCAAAGCATGAACAATGTGTATTACCGCTCTCCTCAAAGGTGAAGGTGTCTCTGGACAGTCTGATGCTGAGTCTGGGCGAGCTGCCGGAGACTGGGGACTGTGTGGTCCGAGTGGAGCACCTGCTACAGGAGCTGAAGACGCTGGAGGAGAAGGCTCAGGTCGGTCAAATACACAAGAAAAATACTACACGAGTTTAACTATCAGCAACAGTGAGAATTTGACTTTAGCTTATATTTACCCACTTCATCCGTAGTTACTGTATATACACTCTAAGCCAGTGTTTTTCAACCACTGTGCCGCGGCACACTAGTGTGCCGTATGATATTGTCTGGTGTGCCGTGAGAAATTCGTCTACTTTGTCTAAAAATAGCTGCATTCGCTGTTGACGAGCGGTGACTTGTTTTGAACTGTGAGTAACCATGTAATACTTTTTCAAATCAGTAGATGGCAGCAGATAGCTAAGTACTTTGAAACCGAAAAATTGGATGCGACCACTGGCTGTGGTGGGAGCGAGACAAGAGCTTTGTGGCGAGTGAGAAGTGAAAGTGATAGAGACGTTTTTGAAAATGAATTATGCCGTTTCTGAACAGGATTAACATCCTCCGCTCTGCCCCGGGGCAGCTGTGGCCGCGTTGTAGTGGTTTAACTATGAAATGTACGATTTTTGTACAACAGCTCTCGCGAACGCACTTCTGAACTGGGTACCGAGCGCAGACCGTAGTCGAGTGGACAGAACCACAGACATGCGGACCGGACAGAACCATGGACTAGCGTTCAGGACCTCCCGTGTCCTTCATCCAAAACTCCTGAATTTAAAGCTCGGATACCAAAATGTTTCCCATGCACTAACAATGCATGTTCTTTGTGTGAGTTATTATTTGACTATTTGGGTAGAGAGTGGATTTTCTTAGTTTTTTTCCACACAGTTAGTGCCACTTTATTCCCAAACTCTTGTTAATTGTATCGAGAAATATTAAATAAAGCTTAATTTCAAGGCCTGGACTTAAGCATTTTGATGAGAATAACTGTATATTGTGAATATAGGCTACAGAGTATACTGTATACATTATAAGATAAGATATACTTTATATATCACACAGAGTATGTACAGTATATATTTTTTTACATTAGTACTGTATACATTTTTACATTTTCTCCTGGAGGTGTGCCGCAAGATTTTTTCAGTGAAAAAAGTGTGCCTTGGCTCAAAAAAGGTTGAAAAACACTGCTCTAAGCCATACACACATTTTCAAATTAACTGAGCTCAAGAATTGAAAAGTAAAGCCTAACCGCAATCGCGACAATCCAATCCACATTTTTAGAGGCAAAATACAATGTTTCCAACTTTCCATAATAACGTGTAACGCTATACTCCATACAGTATTGCCCAATATACAAGTAAACTATAATTTACAATAGAATAGATTATGTGATGAAGAAATTTCTATATTTACAAAACAGTGTCTCATAAAAAAAATAATGAATCCTGGAAACTGATCATGTAAACTGATGTGCATTTAACTTATTCATTGATTTCTTCTTGACATTGTTATGAACATTTTTCACATGATTGCTCAGGATTTACAGTATCTTTACTTGTCAATATTAGAGAAACTTAAATAAACTTCCAGAGTTTGGCGCACCACGATCCGTCTCTGTCTGCTTCGTCCCTGACACACTGACAAATGTGCTTTAAACTAATCTTGTCTGTTCCCTTCACAGCCGTCTCTGGAGAAGGCCCAGCTCCAAGCGCAGCACGGAGACCAGCTGATCCAGAGCGACCACTACGCGGTGGACTCCATCAGGCCCAAGTGTGTGGAGCTCCGGCGGGTCTACGACGATTTCAGCAACGAGAGCCAGAGGAAGCAAGAAGTCCTCACCAAGTCCCTGCACATTCTACAGGGCATAGATAAGGTCAGTAACCAGGAATCTTTAGGGATTTCATTTATGCCGTTTAATTCAGTTTGGATTTTCCCCTCACAGCATTAGCTTAGCATTGAGGACGCTTCAGGTCATCAATTTCTTTTTGTACAGCCCAAAATCACAACTGCAGTCAGCTTGAAGGATCTAAAGAAAAAAAATTGCCAATAGCACATCAGAATATCAAACAATCCTTCACATGATCCTTGTCTGTGCAACATGCTTTATGGATAAAGGTTAACATTAAAAGTGAAATTCTGTTTGTCTTTTTCATTAATGAACCCAATTCCACTGTTGCGTTTGACAAAAAAGCACTCTATATATACCCGGAAACAACGACAATATACAGCATTTACATATCATACAGAATATAAACATTTCTTACGGAATAATAACAAAAAATAAATAAATAAATAAATAAAACACAAAAAACTCCATTATTCGCCATTAGAGTGCCATAAAAATTCAAGATGGAATAACTTAAAAGAACAGAAAGAGAGACCTCCGGGAAAGCAAAGTAAAAATATTACACATTTTAAAAACCTCTTACAGAAAAGTCAAGGAATTAATCTGGGACTGAAGGGAAATCCAAGTATTGTACTACAGAAACAACAAAATAAACAACTTCGATCCAGTGTGTAGTAATAACCTAAGCACGTACAGTACATACTTATATGGTTTTCCTCAATATTTGTAACTATAGAATTATAATATACTGTTGATGCATAAAACTTTAAAAAATCTTTTACTTTTGCACTACTCAGGTGAACCAGTGGTGTGAGGCGGGCATCTACCTGCTGGCCTCACAGGCGGTGGACAAGTGCCAGTCTCAGGAGGGAGCAGAGGCCGCACTCGGTGACATCGAGAACTTTTTGGATTCTGCGCAAAAGAACCAACTCACCGAGCTGAGGAACCTGCACAACCAGAGCGAGCCGGTGCTGTCGGAGGAGCTCAAGGTCAGAAACACAAACTTAAAAGGTCTGGTTTACTCTGTCTGGACCACGGTAAGGTAAGGTAAACTTAAAGCAAATGTCAGTTACTTAGAGTTAGGGTTAGGATTGTTAAGAGAAAGGTTTTTTCCCTCAAAGAAAACACTGGTCAGACCTGCACATTCTCACCCCCACTGCTTTCTGATTGGACGGAATTTATTTAAATCCTTGATAAAGATGAGGCCCTTTGAAATTGAAGCCTTTACAGCTAGCTAAGAAACATAGCAGCTACTCCCTATATTGTCACTCCCCCTCCTCTGTTGTGCCCCCTCCGTCGAGTGCCTCTCCAAATTTTCCCCACTGGGGAGACAATGGGGGGATCTATATCTTATCATTGCCATTGGATCACCTTTGCCATACTATTCTCCCACCCCTCCAGAAAATTCCTTATACGTCGGGTGGCGAGGGATATTAAACAATGCATTCATTTATAAATGAAAACTTTGCATGCTTTAACTTGGGGTTGTCCCTTGAACTGCCTCCATAGTGTGACTCGAGGAAGGACCGGCCACTTCTCATGGCTTGCTTATCCCTTTCGGACCCATCCCCTTGTTTGTTCGATATGGCTAGCCCAGAAGGATGATCTTTTTATGAGCACCGCCCTCCGACACACTGGGCTGTTTTTAGCATATGTGACCCAATAAAACTGACCTCATGACCACTATGTTCCTCATGCATTTCCTCATCGAGATTGTCTTATTTATAGACCAATTCTATTTCATAGGACAATTCTAACCCGCTCCCCGCTTTGTGACTCTGGTCTGTGAAAGGCGGTTATTTAAATAAAAGCTTACTTCACGACATACTTACTTATGATGTACGAGCACACATCCATTCTTACCATTTTTACTGTCTTACTGCGCTTCCTCCTCTGTACTTCTGCGTAGTAGGGTTATCCCTGTAGGGTTCTCTATATAGAGGAACTCGAGAGAATCGTGCGGGGAGGTATTTTTCGTCCCGACCACGTTTGGTAAAATTATGACTGATCTTACGTACCTTATATTTTTTCTTCTTGTAATCACTTCTAAGAATAGTATTGTAAGGAGTTTGTAAATCTTTTAAAACCAGTCGCTCAATTGGAGAGAAATCTGTATCTCTACAGCAAAAAGCTGTTTAAGCATTAGTAAAAGCATCTATTGCTCTGAGATGCTTAGTAACACAAAACAGACCAACAGCCCTCCGCGCCCCATTACATTATCTTATTTACCAAACTTCCAGTGCAGCAAACTAGAACCAGTAAAGAAAAACTCCAGAAAAAAGTTCAGTGAGGATCTTTGAATGATCCAATGTTGTCCCAAAAATGACTGATCCTTAGCGCTGCCTTTGAACAGTAGTTGATGATCAAATAGAATCGGGCACCTGTGTGAGAATCAAGTCTCCGTAAAAATGCACCTGCTCTTTGAAAGTCTCAGGTTCTGTTTAAAGCGCAGAGAGAACCATGAAGACAAAGGAACGACACCAGGCAGGTCCCGAGATACTGTTGTGGAGAAGTTTAAAGCCGTATTTGGATACAAAAGATTTCCCAAGCTTTAAACACTCAAGGAGCCTGCACTGTGCAAGCAATTATATTGAAATGAAGGATATCAGACCACTGCAAATCTACCAAGACCCAGGCCGTCCCCTCCAAACTTTCATCTCAAACAAGGAGAAGACTGATCCAGAGATGCAGCCAAGAGGCCCATGATCACTCTGGATAACTGCAGATAACTACAGCTGAGGTGGGGATGGTGTGTTCAGGTAAGAGCTGTGTTTTTTTTTTTTTTTTTTTGCTTTGCTTTACGCCAAACTGGTGTCCCTGAGAGAGGAGCACAGCCACCTCCCAGAAACAGAACTCAGTTACCATCACAGAGGCAGACATCCGAGAAAGAGTCTCAGGTATGAAAAACTGGACAGCACCTGGCCCTGATATGGTCCATGCCTACTGGCTAAGGACACTCACATCACTCCATGAGCGCCTAGCAGCACAAATGAACTAGCTGCTGAGAGATGGAACTCACCCAGAATGGCTAACCGAAGGGCGAACGGTCCTGATCATGAAGGACCCTGTCAAGGGTGCAGTCCCCTCCAACTACCAGCCAATAACCTGTCTCTCCACAACATGGAAGCTCATGTCAGGCATCATTGCGGCTAAGATAAGTGGGCATATGGAACAATTCATGAGCACAGCACAGAAGGGCATTGGTAGAGACACCAGAGGAGCCAAATACCAAGACTGCCGGTCACGACACACCAACCTGTGCACAGCCTGGATTGATTACCAGAAAGCTTACGACTCAATGCCACACACATGGATCATGGAATGCTTGAAGTTGTACAATATCAACAGGGCTCTAAGGGACTTCGTTGGAAACTTGATGGGAATGTGGAAGACCACCCTTGAGGCAAATGGCAAGCCGCTCGCACAAGTGACCATCAAATGTGGTATCTACCAAGGAGATGCTCTGTCCCCACTACTGTTCTGCATAGGCCTCAACCCTCTAAGCCAAGTAATTGACCAGACTGGCTATGGATACCGCCTCAGGAACGGAGCAAAGATCAGTCACCTCCTCTACATGGATGACATCAAGCTGTATGCCAAGAGCGAGAGAGACATCGACTCTCTGATCCAAACAACCAGGATCTACAACCATGACATCGGGATGTCATTCAGACTCGAGAAATGTAGCAGGATGGTGACTCGGAGAGGCAAGGTAGTCCACACAGAAGGGATCTCACTCCCAGAGGGAACAATAGCAGACGTTGAGGACAGTTACAAGTATCTCGGTATACCACAGGCAAATGGCAACCTCGAACAGGTGACGAGGAAAGCGGCAACTGCCAAATACCTCCAGTGAGTAAGGCAGGTCCTAAGAAGCCGGCTCAATGGCAAGAACAAGGCCCGGGCAATTAACAGCTACGACCTGCCGGTGATCAGATACCCTGCAGGAATAATCAGGTGGCCAAAGGAAGAGATTCAGACCACGGATGTTAAAACTCGAAAGCACCTCACCATGTATGGCGGGTTCCATCCCAAATCCAGCACCCTGAGACTGTGCGTAAGCTTTAAAGAAGGAGGCAGAGGACTAGTGAGAGTGAGAGCCACTGTCCAGGACGAAACATCCAAACTCCATAACTACATCATGGAGAAGGCCAAAACGGATGACGTACTCAGTGAATTTCTCAGGCAGTGGCGAGATGAGGAGGTGCTGGAGGAGAGCCCATCATGGGAGAACAAGCCCCTACACGGCATGTACCACTGGAGCATAACAGAAGTGGCTGATCTCAAGAAGTCCTACCAATGGCTAGAAAGGGCTGGCCTACAGGACAGCACAGAGGCACTCATGGCTGCACAGGAACAGGCACTGAGCACCAGAGCGATAGAGGCCCAGATATACCACACCAGACAAGACCCAAGGTGTCGGTTGTGCAAAGAGGCACCTGAGACGATCCAACACATATATATATATATATAAAATATATATATACACATACATACACAGATACACACGTATATGTATTACTGTATATTATTTTTATAATCAACCATTTCATTGTGTGTATTATTATAATATAATAATAATATACAATTTTTCCAGACCAATTTCATTTGACGGAAATCCGTGCCCTAGATGGAACTCTTAAATCCCTGCATTAATCTGTTGTAAAATAAAAAAGATGTTATGCCTCATTGTAATACGGTAATACTAATTTGTTGGTTGCTATTGTTTTAATGTAATTTCACAAAAAAGTAAAGTAATTATGTGGCTATTTGTACATAGAGTTCAGTGCAGGGTTAGTTTTATAGATTTAAGATGTAGTACTGACATATTTGTAGTAATACTTTATTAGTAAATTCTTAGTCAATGACTGTTACATAGTGTGTTTATGAGATAATCTAAAGAACTACAAATGTAAAAAAATATTTGTTTAGTAGTTTGTGTTTAGTTTATAATTTTCAAAAGTTTAGACAATTCAGAAGTTCATGAAGAAGTAAATGGGTATAAATAAATTCTAAAATAAAAACAATGCACAATTTTGTTTGTTTTTCCCAGAATATGGCAATGAGTGTTTATTCCGTCATCTGTCAACAAAGAAAGAAAACTTTACAAAGAAACGCTTCAACACCAGACCAAACATTTGCAACCGTCTGTTACCAAAAAAGAAATCCAAGAAACTGAAAAAAAGGCATGTGCGTAACAATGGAGCTGAACAAAAACGTGTCAAACAAAAATCCAGTGGGTGAGCAGGTCAGTGCTACATCCGATTGGCCGAGAGGAGTCCCCACGCCAGGGCAGAAATGCACAATTTGAAATCGGGAAGCAACAAAACCCCCATACTTGAATGAATACAAGAATCACACTGTGGCAATACTGAAATTCAAGTTAAGTAAATGTTGGTGTACATTACAAAAAGGAAATATGTATTCTTTAAACTGACATGGTATTTGGCAATGACTTAATGACTGCAATTTTATATGGCATGAAAATAGCATGAAATACGCCAAGAAACGACTGATTGGATTGATATGGACAGGACATTCGAAGTGTCTCGTGTTTGAAATGGTGAGGACACTTTGATCATTGGCTGAACAAAAAAACAAAGCATTAAATAAACCGGGATATCTTAAATGATTGTTTTCCTCTTAGTAACTCAAAACAATTCCTCTTTAATGCCCTTTGGGAATATTAAGAATTTTACTTTCTCTCCTCACGTTTACAGTAATTCAACAATTGCCCGTTTGTGATAGCCCATCAATAAATGCTGTGCTGCAATTTACACAAAGACCACTGGCAATTAGACCACCAATAGAATTCACAGAAACAAATACATTTGGGGGAAAAAAACATGAATACAAAAATAAATCACCAATTGAAAAACGAAGGCACAAAAATACTGCTAATTGTAAAAAAATACCACACTGATTGCACCCTTAATAAAGCACAAAGTCTTTAATTTACTACAAAAAACATGTGTTAATAATAAGTGATGCGTAGCAAGAGTTGGACCAGTCTGAACCAGTCTGAACTCTATCTCTATAGTTCAATATGAATTCTGGCTTCATGCTTTATTATGATGTAAAAAAATGTAGGTATTTTTTTAAGAGTAAAATTCCATGGACACTTTTAATTGACACTTTAAAACAAAATTAATTACTGGTTTGGCATTGAATAGTTTAGCATTAGCCTTAGCCTACATGCTAATATAAGGACAATACTTAGTAAATGACTGAATCTCTTCCACCATTTAAACCGCATTGCAACACAAACAATGGTAATAATTATGTATTGCAGATGAAATGGCCCCAAAGGTGATGATTGCAAAGAAAACTAATGAATGAATGGGTGAAAGTGCAATATAAAAATGCACTAAAAACCAGCAGAATGACTTCATATACTTTGTTTACTTCTAGTCTCTAAATTCGACATGAGCTAATAATTATAAAAGAATTCTATTGAGTGACTATAGTTATAAAGGTGCACATAGTGAGCAGTAACGTGTAAAAACCAGTAAGGCTTTTCAATAGTGGAGGCTTCCCCCCCACCAGCGAGTCTGTTTAAAGTTGTAACTTTGCGGGAATAATCTGGAAAATTATCTACAGGGTAAAATAAATGAACGAAAAAAATAATGGCACATGTGTGATTTTTCTCTGCACGGAAACTAAGTGGAGTTTGATATTTGGCGGAATATTGCTTTTAGTTTTTTTCCCATATTGTAAGCCATGCTCAAAGTGTGCGACTATGGCAAAGCAATGTGAAGGAATGACTGAAATGATAAACAAGAGAGGTGTAGTCTATACAAACAGTAATAGGGGTGGGTTAAGGCATTACTGCTGTATGAACGATTGAAATAAAAAAACGATGTCCTATGTACAAAATGCAACTCTATGCCCTAAACAGTGGATCACCGCACGACTACTCCTATAATGAGGCCATTTACAAAACAACAGTATTCACGACACTTTCATTAAGTTTGTCTGAAGCCAAGACTGTTAAAGCATGAACTTAAAAGGACAGGTCAAAATTTGAGCATTTGTTTTAGTTTTGCGTTTCTGATTTCAAGTGAGAAAAGTTTGTCTTGTTACATATTTTAAAGTGACTGCGTGTAACTTTTGGGAAGAGGAAAATCGCTTGCGTGATTCCATGGAAACAACAAGGTTACAACCACAATATGGAAATGCCGACCTGGAAGCGGATTACTTATTGTGGAAAATCACAGCCAAAGAAGCACCATTTCCATGGAAACAAACAGGAGGCTATACTCCAGGACAAGTCAGGTCTGTGGACATGCAAGCCCGCCCACAGTAAGGACATGTTTTCACTTTTGTATGTGCCATAAATGCATTCAAAATATAAGCATATTTTTTGACTACAAAGTTTAACAACAGTGGAAATATAGTCAAAAGTCACAACTTTTAGCACTTTTTAAAAATCTTACCATGTCCAGTTTACTTAATGGTTAAAACACAGATACGTGCCATGGGCGTTTGTGTATTTTTCAATAAGTCCAAGGTTTGTATTCTCATTATTGCACAGAGAATCATTGTTTTGTAAATGGTCACAGTCTTAATGCTACACAGTGAGGTCACAGTGCCCCCTATCTGCACACCCAAGAAATACCACTGAAAACACAAGAATGAACAAGTTCAATCCAAAAAAAGGCAACATTTTGGATTCTTAAACCGATTGAACTATTCTCAACCAACCCCGATGATGCATTTTTAATCGTATACAAATTGATAAAGCTTTTTTTTCTAACATGAATACTCCATGTAAACAAACAAAGATGCTCCCGTCGCGTCACGCTACAGACTTCTCAAAAACTGTGGCTCAGAGATTTTTTCAGAAGAGCTGCGGCGCTTACGATAAAGAGGAAGCCTGATTTCATACATTTAAAAATAGAAAAAAAAAAAACGACTAAAGAAACTCCAGCGAGGCCATTTTGACGCCACATGTACTGGTCAGAATGGAGCGGTCGAAGGAAATTGAAAAAGTTGAGTGACGATACAGAAATATTAGAGCATCAGTCGGTGTAATTCAGTCAAGACTGTTTACAAGGATCCTGTTTCAGATGATAAAACAATACACCTAAGTGCTGCAGATTTTAAGCACAGTTTGAGGTTTTCCGGCATTTATACAGAGCAAGGGACAGCACTGTTCAATAATGTGATAAACAATTGAAACATTCATAATGATTAAGAATTGTTTTTAAAGGACAAAGGGACAATTTTCTCACCTGATGAGCAAAGAGACAGTTGCAGACAGTTTAGTCATTCACAAATTCACTCAAAGATCATCTGTCAAAATTGATATTTAAACTATGGGTTAAATTTGTAGTCCTGCCAAGAGTCAATTGAACAAAATCTTAACAAGGCCTCTTCAAAAAGTGCAGATAACTTTTGACAGTTCTTTTGACTACATATTTTTGTTGTCAAGTCAAGGCCGGTTAGAATATGTGGTAGATATTGTGCATCCAAAAGCAACCGTCTGCTAATTTTGCCCGAAATATTACTAAAAAGAACCCATGTAAGCTGCCTTTCTGTACTGCCACTCAACACAACACCAAAAAGCACTGTATATTTTGGTCCTTAGTTCCGAATTTGTTCACAGGGTTTCTTTGGTAGATTAACCACAGTTTCACATTTTACTTCCCCATTTCATGTGGGGGTGTGTGTATGTAGGAGGAGCAGATATACAAAAAAAATTATCACAGATCAGAAAAGCGCCAATGGCCACAAAAGTGATTGTACTAAACACACAACTCAAAAACGATTCATGGTCAAACGTTGAAACAGAGAATAACACAACTGGTCAGACCCTATAGAGTGCTCAAAGCAATGAAATACTTCACTTTTCACAGCCCTAAGTTAAGTTTACACGGGAGGAGGGGCTTGCGATGAGTTGAGTTGGTACAATTCATTCTTAAAACCAGTTGTGCGAGAAACTTTGTTGGAATCTGAAACCAGAAAACTTAAAAAAAAAAAAAAAAATGTTAAGACAACAGGATTTGCTGACTCCCAAGATATTTGATTTTGGTATGAACACAATTGAAGCCTGTCAAACGTGGTTCCAGAAAGGGCCTGTGTAGATTCAGGATTTCATTCTAACCAAACAGGAGCACACCAGACTCCACCCATTTCCTCAAGTCTTCAGGTTAAGACTGGACTCACTTGAGGAAATGGGAGTTGGGTTTGCTCCTGTTTGGTTAGAATGAAATCCTGCAGCCCCAGCGGCCCTTAGGTGACCGGTTTAATCCCCCTGGCATTGGATGGAAAGCTGCGCCTATGGTGCTTTGTGGACCTTTAGGTAATAAAAAAAGTGAACTGTACCAAAGTCAAAGCAGACCAATGCCGCTCCAGCGTAAACATCCCATCATAATCTGACAGTGCCATTCAAGAACATGAGTAGCGTGAGCATTATCTTTGCTTTACAGGCTACAGTTCTCTCATTCTGGCCTCTCGGACTCTCACACAGCATTTGAACATCGGAAGAAACACATTCACGCGCACTGGCCCGGCTTCCAACCCTCTGGAAAACGAGAGTAAAATTCAAACTACTTCAGGATAAAAAAATAAATAAAAATAAAACAAAAAAAATGTATGCACCTGACCAGCGCCTGCCTCCTGTACACGAGTCTTCCACAGTAGGGCGCACAGTGGGAATGCGGTTCAGTGTAAGTAACGGTTTCAAACTGTATTATATCCACTTCCAAACAGCTGATTGTTGAAATTTCATATTTGAAAAAGTTATACTGGGCGTTTGAATATTGCAACATTCATTTCAGTTTCGTCATTTCCAACTGCGCAGCCCGACTCTGGAGCAGCTAAATTCTTTCCACAGTGCACCTCAAACGCAGAAAGGCTAAAATAAAATATATATAGATATATATGTACATCTTGAACAGAGGAAATAATTTATATTTCAAAGAAAACAAAACATCTGGTAAACAAAATAAATTAAGGCATGCAAAAGATAGTCAAATCTTCAGATTTGGATATTTTTTAAGCCTAACAAACGTCTTCCTGTTTGGAAGAATTCACTCACGCTTATGAAATCCTCAGAAAGAAGGTAGCTGCCAAAATAAAAGTCAAACTCACTGGAATATAGCTGGATTATGTCCGAGCTTTGAAGGCCAATATTTACACATGTGTTCTGTTGATATTTACATACATATTCATGCGGATCAGCAGCAGTGCAGCAAAAACGAACAGCAAGGGAGTGCTTCACGAAGGCCCCCAGAACCAGAAAATAAATAGAGCATTTATCAAAATCATAAAAAAATGTACATCACAAATATTCCTATTTGCCTTCCTGTTTGAAGGAACACTCGGCCTAACAACTGATATGTATAAAAATAAAAGACAAAACTGGTGTTTGCTTCTACGGCGAGGTGAAGCAGTGCGGAGCCGGTTCTGCCACGTTAAGGCTTCGGGAGACACTGGAGCCCAGATGCTGCCGCTCCACAAAAAGAACCAGGACCACGGACCTCGAACCGGGATCCATGGACTCAGGAGTGAAGGGGGAGGGGCACAGAAAGGACATGCAGTCGCCCGTGTCACTCACTCAACACACAGCACTGTTCTCTGCTAATAAAAAAAAAAAGGAAAAAAGCTCTTCTGCGACTTCTTTTTATGATTCGTTTTCTTCATTTTCCACCTCTTTTGGATTTTTTTTTCAGTTGGCAGCATCCTGTCCTGTGCGGCCTCTTGGCTCTTGGGTGGAGGGGCAGGTGGGGCGAGGCGTGTGGGGGTCAGTAGTCTTGGATGGGGGCCAGCTCCGGAGAGAGGTCCACACTGATGTTCTTATACAGGCTGCTGAGGGTCACCACCGGGCTGTAACGCAGGTTGTTCAGGCCGTCCAAGTGCTGCCGCTCTTTGGAGTACCTCAGCAGTTTGTACCTAAAAAAACAAAAAACAAGAAAAATATGCATTAGAATTCATTATTTTTGTCCATTTTACAAACCAAGCTTTGTCAATGTCAATGTTTGTTTCATTTCTATTCTGTGTATTCTTGTATAGCCCTAAATCACATCAGTAGTTATCTCTGAGGACTTAAAGTGATTGTCTGGAGTTTGTCCGAAAGAGAGAGAGGGGTTCTTGATTTGAAAAAAAACGACGCAAGCTCCCTCCCCCTTCCTTTCTGATTGGTCTACACCTACGTTTCCGTAACACTTTGAAATGTTAACCAGAGAACACATTATACATATACATTATTAATACACATGCACGGAGGTTTTCAGAATTATTTGTGAACGTTTTAATGAAAAAAATAATGTTTTATGCACAAAAAAAGCGATCGCGGCAAACCAGGAAGTGCTATGATCATGAATTGCACATTAAACACATCTGCAGAGGATCTGATTATGGATATAGGTTCAGAATATACATAAGTACCTCAGCGCGGATGTTCAGAATTCTTTGTTCAGTTTTCATGTAGTTCCAGAGCCTAATAGAGGCTCCGCAAAAACAAACAACTGAGCATGCGCGCAGCTACGAGCATCAGCGCGATGATTGACAGCCCTTGGCATGACTCGATTGGTTAACCTCGACGACACCGTGGATTCTGAGCTATACCTAAGAGCAGGGAAGGCAGGACTTGCCCGTAATATTAGAATTAATAAAATGACTTATTTTATATCAACATTTAAGGCCAGGAGGTCAATTTAGCACATTTCCTAAAATTTGTAATTAATTTAGAGTTACAGACTATCACTTTAACAAAACCGTTGAATTCGCCAACACAGATCAGAGAATCAAAACAGTTCAGACACGAGAAATGCAATGATAGAAAAAGAAAAAAAAAGAAAATAGAGCCATTGGTCCAAAAGGGGCAGATGACCAATGTCCATAAATGTTGTTAAATGTTGAATGTCCTGGATCACCATATTTGTATTTACATACTATTATTTACTACATTATTTGTATACTACAACTGCTTCTTAACTGAAGATCTGTAGTCAAAGGCTGTTTATTATTTAAACCAGTTAAGCAGTTTGCCGACAAAAAAAATCAAATACAATAATGAAAGGGTGTCTTATACAATCGCAGATAAATCCTTAAAAAAGGCTAAAACTGGAGTATTATATATATATATATAGACTAATTGTTTATTTGACTTGACCAAAGGTTTATAAAGAAAGCAGGCGGAAACCTAAAAACTTTTTGTCTGAAGGACGTGCATTCCATAATTGTTTTTTTCAGATGAGATCAGGCTTTGTGAGGTAATTAAAGGTTTAAAGCTGCACTAACTGACTTTGGGATTTTAAAGCCGCGGACTCGCTGGCCTCTCTTTCTGCTCCCCTCCCCACACCCACGAAGCTATCGCCCCCCACACACACCCACTGTTGTTGACGGAGCTAGCGTCTCCCAATATGGATATTATGGATATATGGATTTGCACGTGGATGGCGTGACCATTGAACTATAGAACCGGGAAGCACGGAGGAACGGAACTTTCTTTTGGATGGCTGTCTCGCTGAGTAAGCAGTAACCGGTGACGAAGACACAGAAGCTTCAGGTTAGCTCCGCCGCTTGTTGTGCTAACTCAGCAGTCTATGCTAACGGACCTGTAGATTTATCACGAAAGTGGGGGCTAGTGGTGCGCTGTGATTGGTCACAATCTGCGACCCGAAACACCTTCCTTGTTTCATCAAAACTCGATCTAAAATATAATGACACGCCAGCACAAAATCTGCGCTACTTTTTCCTCAAAAAGGACGTATATCCCAATGCACTGCTTGGATATGGATAGCATTTTCGTAATGAATACAAAAATAAAGTCAGTTAGTGCAGCTTTAAGCTGCCAGCTCAGAGGGGATTTTTACCCTTTCACAAGATCACAGACGTTTGTTTGTAAGAAACACATGGATAGAGCATCAGCAGGGGAATCTAACCACAGTCTCACCTGCCCAAGAACTGCACCTCTCCTCTGTGATGATGAGGGATGGACTTGTACTTCCCCAGCTCTCCTTCAGGGCGCGTCACGTTCAGACCAACATAATGGACCCTAAAAAAAAAATATGGAAAGAAAACACAATTATTTAATAGCTAAGAAGGATAAAACAATACTATGTTACTTGTTTCAGTAAAAAAAACTCAAACTTCACAGATTTGCATTAGGATAAAGATTGAAAGCAACAAATCCATCTACTGTTTTAGCTGTGCTTAAAACTTGTACCTTCACCCTATTGAATGTACCGTGATTTTTTATATTTTGAATGCCTTGTATTATTTTCTTACTCGTTTTGTAAGCACTTTGAGTTGCTTTGTGTATGAATTGTGCTACACAAAAAACGTGCCTTGCCAATAGATTTCTGGATAGACCTCCAACCCGCTGGCCTTCAGATACCATTACTTTCCTTTTTTTAATGGAAATTGAAAGCAAAGTTTGTTGTAGTATGTTGCCACTAATATTTGCGGCAGTGCAGAAGGGCATCAAGGATAAAATATCAAGTCAATCTCCGTTAGTGCAAAAAGCCACCGCCAAACAAGATTAAAATAGCTATGCAGACAGTGAGCATCCGTTTCATGGTGAAGACTTGACAAACCTAATTTAGAAAGACAAAGCAGTGGCTGGTAATGGCTCCGCTTCACACATTAGACTGACCTGTTCCACAAGTCGTCGTCCTCTCCTCCCCAGCCCCAGAACGCATTGGGGAAACCATTAATCTTTCTGAACTGCTCCACAGTCAGGCCGCTCACACCGCCGAAGAACTCGCTGTATGGAAGTCTAAAGACGGACACACGTTGGTTAGGCAAAGATTTTAGCGGGGTGCACTTGAAAGTAGCAAAAACACATTTATACTACATGTGGGCTGGCTACTTTCCACATTAGAATATTGAGATTCTCAACATGAAATTAGGGGTGCACTGACCCAATTGCAATTTTACAGTTCACTACAATAAGATTAATAAATCACATGTGTTTTAAAAAAAGTACAGCTCTTGTAGTAATTAATTATCATGAACTGCTCCTGCGCATGTAAGTGCATCATTAAAATATGATATCTATAAATGTTTGGAAGTTCATCCGTGATTTTTAAAAATAACAGATTTTATGCAGAAATGTGAGAAATTCCAAAAGCATCACTTTGTAAGAAGTTCTGCTAGTTGTGATTTTAGGCCCAAACATTACTAAACAACATTATTACAACATTGTTTTTTCTTTATCAAAATAGTTTCTACTCGTTGCAGCCATAACTTGAATTAGAGAATTTATTTCCAATCTTTCACACAGCCTCAGGTAGCATAGAAACAATCTGTAAAAATAGGGTGGGTCCATTTTGGAAATAATTGGACAATAATCTGGGGTGCTGACGTTCATGTCATGTTTTAATCAAGTTTATTCATTAAGTGTTATGTCACAATGAAATCAAGAAAATCCAAATAAAGTAAATATCCAAGTGTGTAGATTAAGCGAGTTGTATTTAGCATTGTTCCTATTACAGAAGTTACTCTACAATACAACATACCACGTTAAGAATATGGGCATTGGTGAATATTGTTAGTTTGATTTTGCGGAGCGGATTGGATTCAGGGGGCGCGGCCGTAGTATTTGGAGAAATCAATCCAAAACTCAATCAGTCTGAATAAAAAAGGTAGAGACTGTCGCAATGGGACCAAAACAAGCAGCGTATGTCGTTGAGGATTTAAAATACATGCAAATGCGTGTTGTTTCAGTGTGTGTGCGTGTCTCGTTACTCACATGTACATGTACTTGTCGAGCTTGGCGGCAAAGTGGCGAGGCATGTGTCCGCAGCCGTAGTAGTTGCGGTCGTTCTCGGGGATGTGGTCGACGTCGTGGAAGACTACGCAGTCCCAGTCCAGGTCCTTCATGGCCTCCAGGAAGCCCACGTTAAACAGCATGGCTCGGTTAAAAGGCTGGCTCCCGCTCTGAAAGACGCACCGACCATAAATATTGAGCCCCCAAAAAGCATTGTTCCATCCATTATTTATTGAATGACGAGCGGATTCGGTTATTATCGTCACAGGGCACTTTGTAAGTCATACAGGAATTTTACTTTGTCATCGCAGGGAAGAGGATACAAAAAAAACACTGTCGTGAAGTAGGCCCTTCGTGGCCGAAACTCGTTGGTCCCTTCTCTATTAAAGGACTTTTATCAGAGTGCCTCGGATTTCACCCCGTCTTCTTTTTTCCATGGAAAAGGGTATCTTTGTTTTACAATAAAGTCTAAAAGAATAAAAGTCTGACTGAACAAAAATCCACCCCCATGTGAGAAGTTTAACATGTGTACTAAAGGGGAAGAGTCTATTGGCTATTAGTTTGAGATAAAGGCATACTGTAAATTAGAAATATCTTCAGTTTGAACCAAATTTTGGGATGGAAGTTGATTCGTCATCTAACTTGCATATTGTGACGTCATCAAGGTGGCGGCCATTTTGGAAAATGTAAATTATTGTATAAAGATTTCAAAAAGCTGTAGCTTGAGAGTTTTTTTTAGATCAGGGAATACTAACAACAGTCAATGTGAAATATATTTAGTATGAAATTAATTTGGGATCTAGATTATACATAATGTTTTAGCACTGGTCGGTGGCCATATGGATTTGCAATATTTTCAAAGACCTTCAATGATCAAGACAGCACTCTTTATAATTTACAGTCATGAAATCTGGAGTTTGGTTTCAATATTTCCCTTTCAAAGAAGTGGTGGCCATACTATTTCTCTAAGTGGAAATGGGGCTCCAGAATTTATCGTTTAGAAACAGAGATGAAATGAATGGGCTAATAACATGTCAGATCGTCTCAACAATAAACAACAGGCTCTTCAACATTTCTGATCCACTTTTGTGGATCAGAACTGCCGCCATCCTCATCATCGCTGTTGGTAAAGGCAGTGAACGCAATTAGCGATGTGTTTTTTCCCGCGGCTTCTCCCGCGTCTCCCGTGTTCCCTGTGTTTGTTTACACCCGCAACTTTCACCCACATGCCCGGGGTTATGATCCCCCTGTCCCCTCAACCACATCCCCTGCTTGGGGGTTCACAGAATGCTTCCACCGCGGCCACACGGAGGTGAAGCAGCCGCTGTACTGGGGCTGATTGTGGACTATGGAGCGCGGTCTCCCCGTCACCAATAATGTCCGTGTCTGCTTCACTGGACACCTGCGTGTCTTCCTCCTCTGAATCTGAGAGAGAGAGTACCAGACTAAGTACTTCTCTGGTACTGAAGACCTTGTGAGTAAAAGAAAAAAAACACTCTTTCCGTCTGCTCTGCTCTTGCTCCGCTACTACTTCTGCTTCGCCTCCGCGCCGCAGGTGTTTTACGAACTCAATTTACTCTAAAACTTTCAATATAACCACACCCACAAATGCTGCTCATATTACAGGCACACATGTCCACTAACCCCTGGTGAAAAGTATTAACAAGATTCTGCACCACATATATAGATACAGCCTGTTGCTTGTCGCAATATTGCGACTTTGGAGCTTAAAGGGTTAAAAGTCTAATACACTGCATGATATACTGTAGTGTAATATAACTAAGTAGCATAGGTCTGAAGATGGCTTTGGTGGCTGCAAACATCAAAAAACAAAAAGGACAGTGATCTGATGAGCAAGCATTTATATAATCTGTGCTTAGATGGGTTTCCTCCAGTGCTACGGTTTCCCCACTACTGGAAGAGAATGATGGTGGTGGTCGGAGGGGCTGATGGCCCAGACTGACAGCCTCGCTTCTTCTATTCTGCACAAGGACTACAGCGGAAGCTTACAGTAGTTTACAACCACTAAGAATGAAATAAATCAATAATCACATCGTGTGCCGCTTTGGAAGACTTGTAAAGCGCTTTCCTAGTAAAAGACCATCTTGTTATCTTTTTTTTTTTTAAAGAACATTATTATGACAAAGAATAGAAGCCTAACGAAAGACTAGTTTAGGTGGCATTGCATTTTACCTGTTCTATGACGTAGAAGGCAAACTGCAGCCTCTGCCGCTGCAGCATAGGGATGAGGTGTTGGAAGAGGATTGGCAGATGTTCGTGACGGTTTCTGAATGGAATTAGGAACGCCACCTTTACCGAGAGAAAAATTAAAGGGAAAAAGAAAAGTTAATTCTAAACATGGAAGCACTCTTAGCACTCTTGGTGAGTTGATTAAACATGCTGCTGTATAATAGACCTTCAAAAGTAACTTTATTATGAAACTGCAACTGTAACTAACACTTCAGTGGCATGCTATACAAGCAGTGAATAGACATGCAGTAGAGTAGTAATAATGAACTGATTCAAAACATTTTTTAATTGCAACTATTTTTTTTTAAAACAGCAAAATTTTTATATGGCATCTTGTTTTATTGCTGCACACACCTTCCAGCGAGGTCTGCAGTCCTTTGGTTTCCAGTGACCTCCAAACTCGATGTCAAAAAACTTTGAAAACTTCAGCTCTATCTCTTCAATGGGGATTTCAGTCATGTTCACGTCCATAAGTCCCTCTGCGGAGAACAGGAACAGCTGTCAGTATGGTAATTGATAGGCCTGCCGAATAATCTTATCTGATCAAATGGTTTGGTCTCATTCTAGAAAAATCTAAATGTTGACCAAGGTGCTATAATTCTGGGTCGGTTTGGCTTCGATATGGTTATTATAAGTCCAATTCCATCACGATGCAGGTCTGCTAGTTTGGAACCAGTTAGTTTAGGATTGTATCGGTTTTAAAAATAAAAACGCACCAAATATAAATTGCATTGCAAGTGGTCACATTTATGGACAATTCTTGTGTTTGAAAGGTTTGATTCTCTGATCTGTGTTGGCGAATTCAACGGTTTTGTTAAGTCCTCCGAGATAACTACAGTTGTGATTTAGGACTACACAAGAATTGGTAGCATGAGTAACTTATGTGTTGGGTTCCGTTGCTTCTGACCAATATTGAATGGTAATACTTGAACCCTGAATATGAAAGTGGATAGAGGATTACATTTTGTGTTAGGTCATTATAAAGAGGAAAGGTTCTATGGCAAAAACTTCTAATACAAGGCAAAAGTCTGCAATTGTAAAGAGTGTGAAATAAAGAAAATAGAGTATCCATCACATTACTGATTTCTCGTTTACTCACTCATAGAAGGTAATCGCTCTGGACAGGCGAGGTGTTGGGAGTAGGTGAAGTTCTCTGGGAGGTATGTAGTTGGCTGAACCAGGAGCTCACTGGAGTTTGTTCCGTCCGGATAGTCTGGGGGGGAGGGGGAGAGATTAAAATAATGCACTCTTGGGTAACTTAAAACTAACATTTAAACTTGTGTTACGCGGTCGTCCCTCACCCGTGCCATTGAGCGTGCTGTTTTTGTTGGTGTACAATCGGATCATCTGTCCTATGGTCCGCACGTTATCCCTCAGCATGATGCCCTGAGCCTGCACCATGAAGAAGTATGTGTTTGCTGCAAAGAAAATAAAAACAGACAATAAATTAACAATATGATTAGAAACATTTTTATCAATGTAGGGCTGGACGATATAGAATAACATATTGAGATACATATTTCTATATCTCAATGTATGATATAGCTGGATAAATAACCTCCCCCCCTACTGCAAAAACAAAAATGCCAAATTCCAAGAGGTAGTCAGTTCAAGTAGGAAGAAAGAGCTTTTGTCACATCTGTTTTAATTTCCTGTTTACAAAAATGATTATTTAACTGTAAAATAAATTAAGAGACATATCGGCTTCTCTTCAGTAAAAAATAAAATGACTTAACCCAATGCAGTGCATAGGAACAAAGTGCTTCTACAAACTTTTAAGAAGCATAAAAATCCCTAATTAAAGAAATAGTTTGTAACTCGTTCAAATTCAGCCGCTTTATGCGTCGTGTAAAGTCAGAGTTCTTTTAACGCAAATTAATGCCGGCTCGCTAATCAGTATCGGCAAGTTTTAAAATGATATGGCATTTATCACATAATAGCATCTCACAATCACAAACTATCAGACTTAAGAATACATTATTTTGTAGTGTGTGGACTGTAGAGGCCTAAATAATGATTCACACTTAATTGAAAACACATTTATTTTTATTTTTTGGAAGAAAATATTGAAAAAGGAACGTTTCTTTCTAATCAAAATTATAACCCTTGTAATGAAATAGGTACGGAATCATGACTTCAGTGTATCGCGGCATCCCTCTTACCAATCAACATGCAGCACAGTAATATTTAGCTTCTCATTGTTATGTGGAGAAAAGCCAAGCGAGCAGAAAGCAGAAAGGTGGAAAAACAATCTGTAGCCATTAGGCCGTATGATTCAATTAACACCAGTACATAAGCCCTTTTCTGATAGTGTCGATGCTGCTGATGTGAACACCATTAAGGACTACTTAGACAAAAAAACCTGAAAACGTATTAATTATTCTGTAGACAAAACATATAGCTACAAAATGCAAGGAAAATTTAATACATGGGGCATTTTCAAACTTTCTGAAAAATTTTCATGTGGTCCTAGTTCTGATTAAATCAACTGAAATCTATTTTACGTGAGTTCCACTTTCTTCTGTTTATGCAGCAGGAAAGTGAAAGCTAATCTGTTTCTATAGGGCTCCATAGACTGAAGAAGTACCAAAACTTGACAAACTTTTTTGCAAACACATTTGGCATTGATATCTAATTATTTCTTAAAGAAGACTAGCTGTAAACAAATCGGGAGGTAAAGTGATCACATCCCGAGTATTCACCAGCGTTTGTCAGTCTGTGAGCAACAAGACTCAAAAGGTTATGGGAGGATCATCAAGAAATGTCTGGACGCTGGGATTTTTTTTTTTTTTATTGGAAAGGACTTAGGCCCAAAAATGCAGTCTGAGTGCTTTTCTAGCTATGAATTATACAAGGGATTGTTGTTAAGACCAAAACACTCATATGGACATGCTTTTGTGTACTTTTCCCATGCCTGCATCAGCATAAACATGGAAAGGAAAATCACATATGGTCTGTCCATGGGACAGAGGTGTGAGAGGCACTGACAGAAGCATGTGGAGCCTGTCACACTCAGACGCTGCGCACATACAGAGAATACAGGTTGTGATATTTACTAAACAGTGTGAGCTCTGAACAAGGTGACAAAGGAAAAGGACAACATTCTGTCAACTTGCAATTGCTAAGAAGTACTCACTACTGTGTGGGGTTAGTGAAGAATTCACCAAGTTTTCAACTTGAGGTTGGGCGGGGGGCTGTTAAAATATATTTTTATAAATAAATAATTTCTTTTTATGAGTTTATATTTTATATAATATAATATATTATATTATATAAAAGGCAATTTGTAAGTGTATAATATATATATATATAATATAAATATATATATATATATATATAAATATATAAATTTGACTAATTTGACCAATTAATCTTCAATAAATTAAATATAAATGCATAAATAGTGTTGTATTTTGTTTCACATGGTGCGAAGCGTTATACAAGGGGCTTAATCTTTTTTACTAAACCGTATCGAAAAGGAAGTTATAAGGACCTTGCAAACTTCGAAATCAACAGCAAATCTAAGTTCACTGGATAATCTAAGTTCTAATACTTTCTAGGTTTCTAGACCACCCTTGAGGCCGCAGGGCATTTTAAACAGACTTGCTCTATTGTCTTTCAATTAGCCATTATGTGATGTAACTCCAATTACCAGTATCCGTTTAATCTGCTATAATCCTGCTGTTTGAGCACATGAACTGCATCCCCTACACAAGTGGGAATTTAAGTTTGCTCATAAATGCTGCTGTGAATGGAGTGATGTACGTGTGCATGAGAATGATAAGAGTAATCAGAAAGCAACCGGACCCCTCGCTCTGAGATATGGCACATGAGTGGCGCAGTGGGCAATGGGCTTCTCCAGTCTGGGACAAAAGAAGGAAAACTACTCTAAATTTAAACATTGTGACAGCATGTATAAATGGATTGAAGCAAAGTGTAGTATTCAACCTTTTAGCCAGGGAGATCTACTTTTGCAGATGAAACTCAGATTTATGTCTCAGACAAAAATATACCAGTGGATTCATTCCTTTACTGCATACAACAGATAGTTGTGAGAAACAAACATGCCAATTTCCAAAGTCTTAACCGGAAAGAGGGGGTCAATTCAAGTAGGAACAAATGACCCCGTCACATTTGTTTTAATTTCTTCTTTAAGAAAATTATAATTTAATAGTGAAATGAATGGGCGACAATGGGCGAAAGGGCGAATGGGCGAAAGGGCGACAGTAGCTCGGTTGGTAGAGCATTGGCCTTTGGGCCTGAAGGTCGTGGGTTCGAGTCCACCGCAAGACCTACTTCACGACTCCCACTGATGACTGCTGTCATTGTGTCCTTGGGCAAGACACTTAACCCTACTTTGCCCAAAGCCCCAACTGAAAGATCTCAGCTCCTGTAGACTCACCACCTGCAGGAGGATCAGTGAGGGGCTGGTGATATGTGTACTGGGTGCAGCTCTGACTGCCACCCCCCCAACCCAGAAATGGATTAAGGGGAAGAAAATGGATGGATGGAGTGAAATGAATGACAAATCGATACCATTACTTGCTAGACAAGGCAATTTGTAAGTAACTTGTTCCAATTAAGCTGCTCTCTACGTAGTGCACAGTTGTGGGAATTTTTGCATGGCAAAGTAATGCCTCGACCCGGTAAACCGTATGTGCATTTTGTTTAAGCTGTGTATAAAGTTTAGCCTCTGGTATAAAGCCACGTTGTTCAATGATGACAAAAAGTTGTAATGTCGCTGATGTATGAAATCCCACGGACTCTGACGCTACAGCACCGCTTTCGTCATGTTCTACAATCTGCGTTCTTTTAGACAAGTTTGTTTCCTGCATGTTTACAGTCTATGCTCCTACCTAAGTGGCGCGGTGTTGTGTTGAATGAGACACACACGAGGGGAGTGGCCGAGGGGAGAAAAAGGAGGAGGGGGCAAGCAGTCTATGGGGTGAGCGCAGCACAGAGAAGGCAAACAAGCAAAGCGGCGAAAGGGAAATAGAGTGAGCTTATTGAAAAAGTTACTTTCGCAACATTATAGCCTACGATAGTCATCACCCACCCCTACTTTTACTGTACAAAAACTATGCCAAAAAGGATTTAGGTAGACTGTATGAATCCGACATAGACCAAAGGTTCAAAGCCTTTCATGTACTGTGATTCTTTTAATTAAAAAGGCGTCGTATTTTCAGTTTTTTTCCTTGTTAACTACCATCAGCTAAAAAAAGACATTTGCCAATGATAGGCGCGTGCAAAGAGATATTGGGACATTTCAAAAAAGTTTCACTCCGTACAATGCATCACTCCCGTAAAGTCTCTAAAGGACCTCGCTGTGCACATAGCCACCATGGCGCCCGCATGTTTACAAATTGCTTTTGGTGAAAATTTGACATAACGTAATAATGTACTTTTGAACAGAAACAATATTTTGGATTATTCTTCCACTAGTAGCCCAGTTCTCCATTATTAAATTTTATTGCATTGTATTTTCACATTTTTCAAACATTTAAAGTTAAACCCAAGTCTAATACTCAGGAATCAGGCACATATTTTACTTAGCCCTTTATGGTTTTAACTGGAAGATTATTGGAAAGTAGCAGACATGTTCTCACATTGCAGTTTGTCAAAAGGGGGAAGGATGATGCAGCAATGCGTGAAATGATGGTCTTTAAAATTGAATTCCCAGCTGATGATGAATGAACCGGAGGAGGGCCGAATGTAAACGGCTAATCTTGGGCGACATCAGAGGACCAAAGTCATAAAAGACATTGTAAAAATGGGGTGAATGTCAGCAGAACCGCAAGCTACAAGACAAAATAGCCAGCTCCAAAGAATTTACAAAAAAACAAATCTAATGTAAATTACTGTCAGCTTTTTGTGCTGCAGATCACAGGGGTGCAGTTGGTTTGATTCTTGGAAAACAGTTTCCCCCCATAAGTAGCAAAGAGTCTTGAATATTAAAGCAACACTAGTGATATAGTACATCCAGAATAAGTCTTTCGACATGATCCTCTATAGCTCAGAAAAAGGATTTTTTTTTTCTTTACAATATAGTTGATTTGATGTTGCAACCTTGATTGACAATTATATCAGACTTCTGCATTTTCTAGTATACAGAAGCCTGCCGACGTGTATGTAGTTTAAGAGTATTCACTGCAGATGAGGTTCTGTGCAAGTCTGAAGAGAATTACAGGTCAAGGCAAAAACTACTGTTTCCTTCAATGTATGTTCCAATAAAAACAAGTAACAGTTCTAAAAACAAAATCCTAAATTACTTCAGAAATCATATGAAGCAAAATGGAGACCATCATTTAACCGAACTATACAACATTAAAGGTATACAAGAGGATTTTCTACTTCCGGGTGGATCATCAACACTATTGGTCCTCCCAAATGTCAATCATTCTGTTTATACGTCCTTGTCCTATAAGAGCAGAGAGTTTTGTTCAAAAAGTAGAAAGGGCGGTTCTTTCCTAAAATATGGGAAAATCCTCCTTTATACCTTTAATTACATCAGTTCCAAACCTTTAACGTAAACAATGTTACTTCAGAGATGGTCCATTTTACTATTCTTTATAGCGATGTTGAAAAGAAACAACATCGGAAACGCATCAGGAGCTGTAATAAGCCACATCGCCCATCTGTCAGACTGAAACAGAACCTATAAATTTATCTCCCATCTGTCCGCTCATTGTTTATGCATGAGGCTTGATGTGAGCCACTGTGTAATCAATTATTATGTGACGTGTGCATAACATTGTTTCCAGTAAGTTACCGCCAGTGTTAGAGTTATTTTTGATTTAACAAAGCAAGCCAAGGAAACCATACCCCACCAGTGCTAATGGGAATCTTTATAATAACTATATATGATATGGTGGCATTATGGCTCAGGGATTAGACTTGTTTGAACTTTATACTTGTGATTTCATAATTTATACTGAGAGGAACAAACGAGTCAAAGTTTTCAAAGTCACAGGTTTTAAAAGAAAATGAATGACTGTGTGGGTATAAACTGCATGAAAGTCAATGCATTTTCAAGACAAATGGAATCATATACACACTGGTCCTGCACAAGCAAGAATTCAATAAATTCCCTATCCAGCTAACTCCTAACAATTAGACTGCATCAAACACCAACCAAAGATTTAACTAAAAATAAAATTGGAAATGTGGAATTTTGGATAAAGTCACCGATGCAAAAATTGGTCAATGAAGGAATCACTTTTAAAATACCATACACATACACAAAAGTAATCAAAGGCAAGACCCAACCACAAAAGCAAAATAACTAGAGATGGCCAAGTACATAAACGAAAAGACATTTAACTTCTAGTTACGAGAGTGCAGATTTATTCTTTCTCCACTGTGGTTTGACAATCAGGCTGCAAGCACAAGAGAATTTCCTCCAGCAGTGCATTCATCCACTGATGGCCTGTAAAAGCCCTCACTATCAGCATAAAAATCTGCTCCACACACACAGATGCATCTCACCATGGCATGTGACCATTGCAACTTATCCATCAGCCACACAATATAAACTGAAAAACAAACAGAGCCCCCTTGGCATTATAAAGCAGTATGAAGAAGATCACAAGGTTGCTCATCATGAATCAATTAACCATTTAAAAATGGATAAACAATTCAAAGTGAACACATTTGAATCTGATTTTATGGACGAATGAATATTACTTACTTATAGAACGTGTTTTGGTATTCAGGACCTCATGGAGTAATTTCCAAAAATCATTTTAAATTTATTGTAAAATTAAAATGTGTTGAAATGTATTAAACAAAATGCAGATGAATTCTAATTGTAAATCTTGCATGTTGCAGATGAGTAGCCCATCTTCAGATGCCTGGTCCAGTGATGAGTACAAGCCTCCTCCTGGAAGCCCGTGCTCCTTTACATTATCCAGCAACGTTTCAGTATTTTCTGACACATGTGAGTCCAGACCAAAGACAAGTCCTGGTTTAGTCCTAGGGTAGACCTGGTTTAGACCTG